GAGTTCCCCTCGGCCTGTGACCAGTCTCCTTAGGCCCTTGGAGTGGTGGCCTTGGGGCCCGGCTGTGGCTATGGAACTTCTGGAGACCCCCGTCAAGGACGGCATCCTCTACCAGCAGCACGTCAAGTTTGGCAAGGTGAGGACCCTGGCTGCCAGGCAGCCGCCTAGTCAGGTCGGGGCCGCTGCTCCAGCCTAGAACAGCCTAGCAGGACCCAGGGGCATGGGGGAGGGAGGCGGGGGGTGGGGTCAAAGTCATGGGTAGGATAGTGGAACAGAACCAGTTCTTAGCCTGAGCAAGTTGGGCTGAGTGGGCCTTTTTGAGAGTCTGCTTCATTTACAGATGGGGAAGCCAAGACCAGGGAGGGTCTAAGAAGGCAACCCTTGGGGCAGGGCAGAGCCGAGAGGCTGGCTAATCCAGCAGCCTTCCACTCCATCTGCTAGAGGCACTGAGGCCCCTCGAGAAGGCTGAGGGCTAAGCTGGAGGAGCCCCCGGAGGTGGACCCCCATCCAGCAGGGTTTGGCTCCTCCCAGCCCAGTCCCGGCACAGCAGGCCCTGCACACCCACGGCTCAGCTGCAGCTGCTGCCCAGGCAGATAAACCGTCTGTTTCCTTTGCTCGGCACTATTTGCATGTTTCCTTCCTTGCCATCATGAGACGAAGGCCTCCCTCCCGCCCCAGCCCTTGTCCCATGGCCCAAGTGACCTTCTCTTTGCAGGGGGAGGGGGCACCCACATAACAGCAGTGTCAGGTGGTCTGCTCCAGCCACTAGATACTTTACAGACTTTCCCCAGGAGAAGCCCCAACCTCATGTTTTCATGACCTTTTCAGAAATGGGGACACTAGAGCTTATGGGAGTCACAGTTAGGAAAACGTGGGGTGGATCTGAACCCAGAGGTAACTGACCCCAAGCACAGACTCTTCCCCCTGCCGGGCTGGCTCTGGCAAGACATCCTCTGTGGCCTGAGGAGCTAGGGGGAGGCAGAGGCCAGCCTGGGTGGCCAGGAGTGTTTGCTGAGCAGCTTGTGCTGGGCTGAGCTGCAGGAAAACTATCACCTGAGGGTCATCTCTCACATCTTCATCTCCTGCAGAAGTCCTGGCGGAAGGTGTGGGGTCTGCTTTATGCAGGAGGCCCATCAGGCGTGGCACGGCTGGAGAGCTGGGAGGTCCGGGATGGTGGCCAGGGGCCAGCGGGTGACAGATCTGCGGGGCCTGGCCGGCGCGGGGAGCGGCGGGTCATCCGCCTGGCTGACTGCGTGTCCGTGCTGCCCGCCGACGGCGAGAGCTGCCCCCGGGACACTGGTGCCTTCCTGCTCACCACCACGGAGCGAAGCCACCTGCTGGCCGCACAGCACCGCCAGGCATGGATAGGCTCCATCTGCCAGCTGGCCTTCCCGGTGAGCATGGGCAGGTGGGCAGGGCATCCAGGGCCAACCAGGGACACCACTTCACCCCATCTTGTTCATCTCCATGCTAACTCACATCCCACCACTCAGCAAGTACCTGCCAAGCATCTACAAGCCTGGGAAACAGCCCATAGAACAAATCTCGGGTGGTCATGGGTGCTATGGAGAAAATGAGAGGCTGAGAGAGACCAGGAGTGAGTGGGAGGACGTTACACAGGATGGTCCAGGGAGGTGTCTCAGGAGAGGACAGTGCACCTGAATCCCAAGGACAAATAACCCACCAGACACAGATCTGAGGGGGTCTCCTGAACAGAGAGCAGCAGCATGCGCAAGGGCCCTGAGGCCGGAAAGAGCTTGGTGTTCGAGGGGCAGAAAGGCCAGTGTGGCTGGAGAGTACGGAGTGGGAGGGGGCCTGGGAGGAGGCAACAGTGGAGAGTTTGGTGGGAGCCAGCTGAAGTTGCCTTGGGCTACTTGTGGAGTTGGGAGTTTTATTCTCAGTGAGAGAAGCCTTTGGGGAATTAGACCCAGAGACTGAGAGTTTTAAAGCTTCACAGGGTCTGTGATGAACCAAAAGGAAATGAGTGGCGGTTCCTCAAAAATTAAACATACAATTACCATATGACCCAGCAATTCCACTCCTAGGCATATACCCAAGAGAAATGAAACAGATGTTCAGAAAAAACTTGTATGAAAATCTTCAGGGCAGCATTATTCACAATAGCTCAAGGATGCAAAGAACCCAAATGTCCATCAACTGATGAATGGATAAACTTAATGTGGTCTATCCATACAATGAAACATTACTTGATCATAAAAAGGAATGAAGCATTGATACATGCTACAACATGTATGGACTTCGGAAACAGAGTCACAAAAGCCAGACACTAAAGGCCACACGTTGTATGATTCCACTTACATGAAATATGCAGAATAGACAAACCCATAGCAGCAGAAAGCAACTAAGTGGTTTTTGGGAGCTGGGGGCCAAAGGAATGGGGAGTCAGAGTTAATGGTGCAGGGTTTCCATTTACAGTGATGAAAAAGTTCTATATTTAACCACTTTAAAATGGTTAAAATGATAAATTTTATGTTGTGTATTTTACCACAATTCTTATAATTATAAAGAAAAAAAAAGGAAATAAACAAGAGCAAGGAGACTGGTGAGGAAGCCGTTGCATTTGACCCTGGACACGGTACCGTGGGCCAAGGCGGTCGTGGTGGAGATGCTCAGGGCCAGAGCCTGTGGGACGTGGCGGGGAGATGGGGAAAGAGGCCTGGGGGAGGAACAAGTGGCCATTCACTCATGGGTCCCACCCTGAAACTCCTGCTCTCAGGGACACACACAGGCCGGCCAGGCCCTGGCCAACTTCAAGGACAATGGGAGACAGCCCCTTGATTGCCCTCTGCTTTACAGCTCTCAGCACCCTTAAGGGGGAGCCGGTGGGGATTGCAGGTGGGGAAACAGGCTCAGAGGTGTGCTCGGGGGGTGCAGTGTGTCAAGGGCAAAACTGGGACTGGCACCTAGGTCCCTTGCTTGTCACAGAGTCCTGGGTTATGGGCCCCAGGGAAAGGATGTGGGAAGAGGAGTGGAGGGGCTCAAACCTCTGACCTGGCCTCATCCCCAGGGCACAGGGGAGTCCTCCTCAGGATCAGGGGAGGCCGAAGCTCCCAAGAGGGGCCCGGTCCCCATGGAGGAGAACTCCATCTACTCCTCCTGGAAGGAAGGTGAGTCTGGGAGATACAGGGGCAGCCTCAGCCCCGGCACACCCAGGGCTGGGATCTTCCGGGGGACCCGGGGGACTGCGCTTGCTGCCCTCACGGCCCCCTGCCTGCAGTGGGCGAGTTCCCGGTGGTGGTGCAGAGGACAGAGGCTGCGGCCCGCTGCCAGCTCAAGGGGCCCTACGTCCTGCTGCTGGGCCAGGACGCCATCCAGTTGAGCGAGCCCGCGACGCCCCC